AATTGTCACGAAATCAAATTTGGAGATTATAGAAAATAAAGATGCCTTAGATCTAATTAAAAAAGTTGGCTCTGATCTTATAATAAACACTTTTGCATGCAACTTTAAATTGGACGGCAAAGTGAACGAAAATATAAACGAAACAAATTATCTTAATCGACGCCTATTCGAAAATTTTTCACTTACCTCTTACAAAGAAGCTAACAAAACAAAACCGTTGATTCTTACTTCCACAGTACTAAAGCAAAGTACTTATGGCCATTGTCTTACGAATTTTAAAAACCGTCTTGGTTTGAAAGGTGATCAAGACCTCTACGTTTTAATCAATGTTGTAATGTCTCCTTGGCCTACCGAATTTGATTTCATTAATAAACTTACAAAAACTTTTAAAGAAACCTTGAAAGATATGACAGAGGTAAAATTTTAATATCAATCTTTCTTATTTTTTTACTCTATAATTTATTCACTGTCTTTCCTTCTATAGATTTCAATTAGACGTAATATGAAAAAACCTTTTCTTTTTAAGGCTTTATCACTTGGTGAAACTCAATTAAATGAGAAAATATATAATTATCCAGCACATCTATTTGTAATTCAAGGCACCGATGAAATTTATTTAGTTCATTTGCCAATATTTCAACTCGAAACACATCGTTATCAAGTCATTATCAAGGCTCAATTACCAGAAAAACCAATGATAAAATATAAAATTATTCGTAAAAAATACCCCTCAAAATTACTACTACTTCGTTACCAAGAGAATGTTACAATCGACAAAATTACAACTGAAGGAGGTTCTTTCAGGGCTTGTATTATAGAAAATTTCGATCCTTACACGGCATTAAAAGAGTATGTAATTTGAATTATTTTAGTCACAGTTATTAAATACTTTATCTTATATTATTTATATTGATTCTTATTCATATAGAAATCCTAAAATTTCTTCAATAAACAATTTTGAAGTGAAAACTATTAAATTGCTCAAGAAACGAAATTTAGGATCAACTTATCAAGATACAAACTATCCAATAGATCGTGTTCCATTTTATCTTTATGGTACGCAAAACAAATTACACATTGATCATTTACTCCTTAAATCTCCTAACATTCAACTTTCTGCTGAGAATGTACAAATTGAATTAACATCGGGAGAATTAACAAAAGAACAGAAAGAAGGAGGTGTCATCGTTCACCTAATTGCGAAAGAAGAAGATGGCACTATGATTGATTTATGTGAGGTTGCTATGCAACCATTCCCAGATACAAAACATCTTGGAGATTCATTCTTTTTCAAAGCTAATAGTTGTTTTTATATTGAAATATATGAAGATCCAGCATTTGTCCCAACCCTAAATGGGCCAGGTCTAGATAACGTTAATAGTACATTACCATTTGCGAAAGGAAAAATTATATTACCTCCCAAGAATAAAGGAAGTTTATATATCGATTCTCATTTAATTAATGTAGATCCAATAATTGATTTAAAATTCAAAAAGGACATAGTAGATAGACATTTTTCAAATGAGTCGCGGAAGAAATGCCCTAGACAATTGTTGGTTAATTCAAAAAAGAATTGAAATGAAAAAAAAAAATTGATATTAGAATTTTTACCACCTTTAGTGAATTGAAAAGTCGAATTGGTAAAAAATAAAAAATTATAACCCTAAATTCTTGACATATATGCTTACCCGATTTATTTTATTTTTATTATTATCATTTATTATCGTTATATTACGTATTGGTCGTCTCATTTATTCTGACACAAAAATAGCAGATGATTTATTTAAAATAATATATATATATATTTTTAAAATTAAACTACATTTTTTAAATAAATAGAAATAAACCTCACACTATTGGCTATTAGAATTAGAAAAATAACAATTGATATAACTAATTAATAGTGAGTAAACAACCAATGAAAGAAGTCAATTTAGCAATTGCAAATTTATTAATATTGAATTCAACGTATTTGCTATAATTTAAAATAAACAAAAAAGTCTTATCATAAGATGCTACTACGCAAGTAGGTAGATCTATATCATATATGAAAACGTAATTTGTACTACTGCCCATTAACTATATAAGTTTAAGTGTTATGCATACTAGAATGATATTCATTATTTTTTAATTTAGCTAATTGTTGCAATTATACTAAAGATAATTGATAATGTTATTAATATAAATTAAGATTTTTTGACAAAAGTAAATACTTTTACAGTGTTGAGACCAAACCTGTTGCAAAAATGGTTTTAACTTTGAAGTTATTTAACTAAAAATATTTTATAGAACTAAGATAATTAAACAGAAATTTCTAACATATGATTTAGAGATTAAATAAATAATTAAAAGGAGGTTGCAGTATTAAGTAAACCTTCTTTGACCTTTTAATAAAAGCTTTTTATTTGATTTTTATAGTTCTAAAAATAATAATATTTTAGAAAATAGCCTAGTGAATCAATTATAATACTGTAATAACTTTGCAAAGTTTAGTGATATTATATTACATATATTGTAGATTACCTAATACTAATAAACTTTGTGAAGCTGTTGTAACTAATTTATCAGGCTATTTTTAATAATATTATAATTATAATAATTGTAGTATTCTGTATAAACTTTATTTAAGAAGTTCATATAATATTAAACTTCTTTTAATTATTTCATGATTTTGATTTTTAGCTTTAAACTAGTTAAATTTTTAAAAAATTTTCATATATTTATAATAATAATTCTTTAAAAATTTCTCACATCTTTATTATAACAACTACTTTTAATATTTCTTGAATATATATTAAGTATATACATACTTCAAATTAGATCATAAAAAAAATTATATAAAACTTACTTCCATTTAATACTATTACAATTACTTCACTTATTATTGCTATTTGATTATTATTACTATTGCTATTTGTTTTTTTTTTAATTTCAACCTGTGAGTTGAGGTGAGATCTTGTCTCTATCTTTATTAGATAAAATATAGTTAAGAGTTTACATAAAACTACTTGGTAATAAATTACATACAAGAATTGAAACTCAGATGATAATAATATAACTAAAAAACTAGAGTTAATCTAAAGCTAAAGCTATATTAGAATTATCTGTAATCTAAACCTACTAGAGTGGTCAAGACTTACCTAGACTTAATTAGAAAGAATAGAATTAGTGAAGAAGCTATATTTGATCTAATATATTAGCTAAGCTAAAAGTTTTTGTATTGCAAGTTCAGTTGGTGATATATTGTTATATTGAGAAGGAGGACTATATGAGTTATGTGGTTGTTATAGAGTATATGATAGTTGTTATTTATTTCTACTATTTTGTTAGAAGTTTGAGTGTAGTATGTGAATATTATGTTGATGCTTCTAGTTGGCATATTTAGAGCAGTATGGTAATCATAGTTGTTCATAAATTTTTAAATTAAGTTTAAGAAATAATTTAATAGTTATCTGTATAGCTATATAAAGTAAATTAGTATATAGTAGAATTAATTGAATGAGAGCATGTGAAAAGAATCTTTTGAGTGAAGTATATAGATTGATAGTATCAAAAGAATTTGCAGATAGTTAAAGTAAAGAATAATAAGTAATTAGATTTTGTAGTGTTTGGAATTGTACTTGAGTAATTTTAAGGTTTGCATAGTTAAGAATTTCAGTTACTGATTACGAGATAATTTCTAGTAATATATTAGTATTATAGTTCGTTATCTAGTAGAGTTTTGTATCTGTTTGGTTGCATTTAAAGTATTTGTTATCTGATATATAGTTTGAATAATACTTGTGAAGATATGATAGTATTAATAGTTTATTATAGAGAAGTTTAATTTGAAAAGTTTTAAGTTTGCTGAGTTTGAAGTTGGTGAATTTGTGTGATCGTTTGTTGTTATTGTTAAGGTATAACCAAGTAGAATTCCAATTGATTTGGTTATATAGATAGGCCTATATTTAATTACAGTTTTGGGATAACCATATTGCAATAGTATGAGCATTGCATATTGTTTTAATTAGCTTATATGTAGATTATTCTATGAAGAAATGATATAGAAGTTTGGATTGTATAAGTTAGTATATTTAAATTTAAATATCTTGCAGTATCCTAATCCAATTATTAATAGATTAAACAAATACTTTACTAATTTTAAAATTATTCAACTACTCCAATATCTGAATATACAAATAGATGCACACTCAAGTATAATTTAGTCAAAAACTATTATACATACTGTATACTCTTTTAAACAACTGCTCAATCAATACAACTCTTATAACATATTCAAAAAACAAATCAAAACTAAAAAGATACTTTATCTTGACCAACTCACTACAATAGATAATAGTATCTTTTTAAAATAGGAACATTTATTCCTATAAATTAGCTACTTGCCTATAAGCAAAACTCTAACCTAGTTCAAATTTCTTAAAAATATCCTAACTGAAAACTCTCTTGACAGAAAAATTATACAACAACTACCACTTACATCTAATAACTACTTCAGTTATACTACTAGATACTTCAATAAAAATGAACCAAAACTATAGCTAATTACTATTAAAAATAACAACTTAATAACTATTAGCAAAGCTTATTTATTTAACTTACAACTCAATACTATCTCTATTACATATTAGATATATGATATTGATTACTTACACACAGATTACTATTCAATTCTACTAACAACATGTAGCCCTTGCTCTAGATGCAACTTAAACTCTAATAGAATTAAAAACTATTGTACTTTTAATATTTTAGCTACTCTATCAACAAGATTTTAGAGAAGGAAAATTTCTAACAACCAAACAAAACAACTTAAATTTAATACTAACTAT